ACAAGTTTCGACTTGCACCACGAGCCGGGACTTCTTGTTGTCGTTGTTCTCCAAAAACAAATGCCGCTCCGAAATGGAATGGTGGTTTCAGCCATTTCAATCGATCGGGATGGAACATGAATTATGTCCAGTTATCCGCCCAGGCCGTTGACAGCAACATGCCGTGGCTGCGGGGAACAAGCGTTTTTGCTCAAAACTCAATGCACGCATCAACCAGCATGGACATCACAGGCTCTAGAAGCAATTCCGTGGTGGCAAGTCCTGGTACAAATGCCTTACCTCACCAATACGTACACGTGCCCCCCATGATTGCTTCAATGGGCTCCAACCTCAACAGTCGGTTGATCTTTTGAGTTTCAGCCTGAACAAAATCCAAAAGTTTGGCCATCTCCGTTGAATCTTCCCAATTCATCCTCTACTGAAGAGTGATGTTGTGACACTGCTCTGGCCCTTATGCTCCTCAATCACAAACCTGTGGTTTTCATTGGTGTTCAGGTTCAAGTAGCCACAGTCTTCCCTTCCCGCTCCATCCCGTTCCTGCAAAACAGCTCCCACTTCCACGATCTGTTGGCCAATCAGCGCCCGCTGAGCGATGGTCTCTGCCTGAGCGATCGTGGCAGCATGCCCCCCCATCGTCACCACCTCCATCCGTCACCGCTAGGAAACTTGAAAACCCAAACGCCGTCGGAGACTCCATGTATTTCTTGTTGCTAATAGCTTCTTGCTCCTAGTTACCCATGCCAGGAGCCCCGTTCGTAGCTTCTTGTTACTCCAAAACAACTCCTCCCGACCCACCACGAGGACGGGACGTCGACGCCACGAAACGGACGTTCCTGGGGCGGCCCGACCGTGGTTTGCTCGGCACGTGCGAGGGCTTGGGACTTCTTTTCGATCCTCGGGCGCGAGGGGCAGGCGGTCGGTCTGGATCCAAGAGGACGGTGAGATACTTCCAATCGAAACTGGTCGTGACCTCTATTTGGGACCACCAACCACCCAAAATATGGCCAAACTTCCTATCAAAACAGAGGTCAAATGGGTATATATGTATCGTTGCAAATAGCTACTATAATAGCTTCTTGTTACTTACCCTGGGAGTCAAAGACTATCAAAAGAATGGTCTTTAGGTGACCCGAAAAGGAATATGCTTCACTTCAGTCGGTCAAAATATAGTCTTTGGACTTCTAGGGCTTATAGTAGTGGTTACTAGTAGACTAGAGATGTTGGATATATGCTACATGATACATATGATATATAGGTCATGAGGCGCCCGGCTCCACATGGAGACCATCCAAGTCCTCGGAGTTCATCGCCTGGGAAGAAGCGCAATGGTCATGCAGAAACCAGGTTGGACACCAAATGACAACGGAATGACAATGGATAACAAACAACATGGTAAAACTGCTGTATTTTGTGATATATCACGACGGAATCGTTCTTATGTTCAACGGAATCGATGGTTTAAACATGTTTAAACCGTGTTTTTGAGGGGGTGCAGGACATACACAAAGGAGGGTACAAACATGTTCCACAGTCTGTAGCGAGGATGACCATGAACATGTTTGGTGTACTGTACACGCACACAAGCAGGAAACACTCTATGGACTGTTTCATGGTGTGTGTTCCTTTAAAGGATGCTTTAACCTTGTTTCTTTGCTGGAGGTCCACATCCCAATAGTCATGTTACGGCCGGTGCAACAGCTGGGTATTCCTCTGCGCTCTTCACTCCAGCAACCACCACAAATTCGGCACCTGCCCGCCTTACCTTTTTGGTGTTTGGAAAACGAGTTGCCCTTTTTGGGGGGGGTAGCACCTGCGTGGCGGTGCACTTTGATTGAGACTGGTTCCAATTGACGACCATTCGGACATCCGCGTGGGGAATCCACCAAGCCCAGAAAATCTTACTTTGGCTGGTGGGCGCGCTAAAAAAGAGAAGGGCCTGGTGGGCTCGCGCGTCCAAACAAAACCTCCAACAGCTACAACAGCTGAACATGAAGATGTCCCAAAACCTCCAGACTGTAAAGTTTCGCAACATATGCGTTCATATGCGCGTGTATGTGTATATACACAAAGACAGAACCTTTTATAACAATAGCGCCCCACGGAGTTTTTCCAGGATTCTAGGTTCATTAGACATCTTCTGGGAGCATGGGGTGCTGTGTGCACCAGGACACACCATGTTCTGAGAGTTGACTTGGAACTTGCTATGTTTTCAAAGCATGGAACCATGTCTTGAACAGCACCTCTTGTTACAAGTGAGTGATTGACACCATTTAGAAAAAAATATGAAAACGGTACTGATGAAGAACATATGGTTCGGATTCACCAATAGCCATCCAAAGCTTCCCTGATGACAAAATAAAGATTCTAAACCCATAATCTTAATATGTCTTGATCATCTACATGCATATTACATAATCCATCCATATCCACAAAATTCATATACCTACTACTCCATTGCTCCCTACTCCAGTTCAGTCCGCCTTCAGCTCCCAATAAACCGCCTTCAGCTCCTGAGTGCAGCTGTCGAGCTCGGACTCTGCTTCTTGCAAGACCCCCCTGGCCGCACGGCATCACATTTGCGGATCACATTTCCATATCAAAACCTTCTGGATCACATTTCCGTTGAGTTATACCATGTCATATCCATATCATCAAAACTGCACTCAATACATTTTAGAGCATCTATAAAATGCTAGGTATGTTGGTTATCTTTGGGAGTAGCACGTCGTATGAATGATCACTTGCTTTGGATGCCGAACTTCTCCAACACCTTCCCCATGTCCAGCATACAGAATTCTGCAGTGAAACATCCGCCAGACATCCTTGTCCAGCATCTTGAGACAATTCACTGTATCCCTGTATCACTTTCTGGAAGAAAGCCATCCGCCCAGCCCGGCTCGCCACCCTCGCCCGATCGCCGAAGCCCCCCACCCTGGTGGGATCGAACCGGAAACCGGACGTCCCGTATACAAGCGGCGTTCCACGTGACGCGTCCCGCGCGGCTCGACCGCCTCAGAGTTGGAAACGCTTTCTTCCCAGGTGGTCAGAATCGTGTTCCGCTGTGTGAGGGACTCCTGCGCCGCAGAAGAGCGCGCCACAGACGCGCAATTCTGCACATGCGCAATTCTTTGATGCGAGCAAAAAAGGACGGTGATGCGAGCCAGCCTTACGTGACCAGCAGGTGATGACCTCATTGAGGTCCATTGTGTCAAAAGGTGTGCGATTGGACATGCCTTTGTAATTTATAATATAGAACATCATGATCGCATACTATTGAACCCGAAAAGGCTTAAGGAGATGCAATGGAGATCGTCGAAGCCCTCTGGCCCGAAAACCACGATGCACCGTGTGGTTTTCTGCGCCACCTGGCGACATCCACAGGATTTTCACGTCTACAAAAAGACCCAGGGGACAGGCACGACAAGACGGGCCTTTTGTGGCTCAATCCCAATTCTACTGCTGCGTAGGCCAAAGTCCCATGGTCTATGATAGCCAAACACTCCATGGGACTGCCATATGCCTATGAGTTGGGGTGGTTTGGGGGGGTCAATGGGGCGGCATAATGCGGCATATATATGGCAGTCCCAGGCAGGTTGTGTCTGGGATAGAAACGGACGCCAACCCGTTTCTAAATCCACTCCATGACACCCGACATCACCCGGAGTTCACCGAGGCACCGGAGCTCACCGATGGAAAAGACGAACGCTCCTCCGCCTGCTGCAACTCGTCCCTCAAGCTGGAAGAGCAAGCCTTGATGGTTGGTCTCGCGTTCCGAGCATGCTGGAAGACTCGAGGTAAGACGCTCCTCCGACTGCCAACTCAACAGTTCTGAAGCCTCTCTGTTGATATCAATTTGTTGAATCATCATCGTGCTGCAGGTTCAACTACAAATGGGAGACCCATGAAAACTTGCATTGGTGATTGACCCTTTGTTTTTTTGTGTGTGTGTGTGAGGGAGGAATGTGTCTCAATGCGTGTGACTAAAAATTATGGTGTTGCAAATATCCTGGAGACAAGCAAGTAGGACGTTTGCTTTGGTTGCGTTCGATATATCTATTGAAAGACACTTTCCTTCAAGCGTCCAATGACCTGCACATATGGCAAATGCTGGAAGATGCTAGCCACCGAACACCACATAGATCGATGACATCATGTGGATTGATTCATGTCATCCCCCCGTAGATGTTCAATGAATAATTCCAACTCCAAATCTTCACCTCGTTTGGCCGTTCGATGCCCTCCCCTCTGCCTCCTCTGCCCGGAAGTTCCGTTGCAGCTCCCCCAAGCGCGTCCGGTCGCCTCAGTTGATCGCGTGTTCGACCAGGCCCCAACAAGTAGATTCTATTACACTGCCGAACGTTGCTTCGGCCTCTGTGCGATTTCAATCACAACTGGTGTTTATTGGACATGGACAAATCCATACCTCCAAATGTATGACGCCCGACCGAGCGACACCAAACCGATGTCACGTCAAGTTATGTTTCTCCCGCTTCCGAGAGGCACAGCAGCCGTTCCTGCAACCTGCGAGAAGAGATCGAGTGTCATTATATGTGTCTTATATTCAGTTTGCAAAGCGTCGTTCTTTTTCTTTTTTGCTTTTTTTTTCGTATATGTTTTTGTTGGGTGCAGGAGAGGTTTGGAGATTTTGCAGCCAATCCCTCTGTGTTTTGCAGCTCCTCTCTCCAAAACCGTCGGGGGCACGAAGCCCAATAAAATCACTATACTACTGAGGTAGACCAGGTAGACTCATTTTGCTGAGTGAAAGGGTTCTTTTTGAAGAAACACTTGTTGTGGGTCTTGGACGGGACGAAAGCTCTGCCCCAAAACCTGTTCATGAGACAAAGACCTTGCAAGCAAATGTGCTGAGGCAGCAGGTTGCACATTTTCTCAAAGCACAAAAGATAGCCATAAACAAAAGCACTGAGCGTGCCTTTCTTCGGCGTAGATAGGTGGATGTGGCTCAAAGTGTTTCCCGGAACAAATATGTTGGATCCATTCTCTTAGTATCTCTTAGTTGTCTTCAAAAGTTCGCATGCATAGGCAGTTGCCGCAGCGAAACAAAGCAAACATCCACAGGAGTCCACGAGTGAGGAGAACCCACTTTGGAGTCCACATGATTGCTTTCCATTTGGCGCCACATGTCCGGACTCCACTTGGACATCGAGATCGTAGAGTGGCCGCATGGCCGCGTGGCCTGAAGCAAAGGGGACCGCCGCTCTGGGCAACCCTTCTGCTGGCCAGAAAATGGATTCTCCAGCAACTGGTTCACCGTCCCTCGCCTGAGAGAGAACCAACTCCTTAGACGTCTTCAAAACTCCTTGCCAGGCTGTACACGGGCGAAAATTCCTCTGCATTTTGTCAGAGCTGTACACTGCATGACTTCGAATTCCTCTCTGTTCATTCAGAGCTGTACATCGAGAAAAGCTGTACAAAACACTCACTATACATTTCTTGGAGGCTCAGACAAACCGTCTGAAGACTCTGTTGTTGCCAACAAACTCTGGGTGCCCTGAAAAGGCCTTCAGCAACTCTCTGTCACCCGCTATGGCTTGTCTCCCTCAACACGAGGAGTGCAGGGAAACGAGGTTGAAGCGATGCTGAGGGAGTCGAAGTCGTTCCTCGGTTTAGCCAGTCGATATCTCAAACATTCTCAAACTCTGACGCAGACGGAAGTGGATGGCAGGGTTTTCCTGGAAGGCCATGCCACCAACAGGTGTCAGGGCCTATCCCCGTCATCATGTCGCAGTTGCGTGGATGTTTTCACCATGTTTTCACCAGTTGCTCGCACGACACACCAAGTCTTTGAGCTTGATCTTTTCTGCTTCACCAGTTCCTCCGAGAACCTTGGTTCCGGTCCCTCGAGGGCCAAAACCCGTGGTTTTTGCGGACCCTCAATGACAGGTCAGTAAGGCCGAGGACGGTGGGAAGGGAAGGAACGTGGGAGGTTGCCCGGTGCCTTGTTTGGATTGAACCAAGTTGCCCAATGACATCGGTCCTCAACATCGGGATGGACGCACAGTCGCGAAGACGTCCAAGTCTTCTCTTTATGACCCGTTTGTCAAATGAACCAAATGACCTGTTTGTCAACGTACGTACTCTTCGCGGCTTGCAGAGGACAGTCTTCCGGGGTCCAAGAACTTGGCTTTTTTGCATCAAAGAGGGTCAAACAATCTTGCCTTGGTCAAAAGACTTGCTAAACCCTAAACCCTGCTCAGCTTCACTAGGCTGAAGATGAAAGGCGGTGGCTCGAGGCCCGGTGGCGGTCGGAAGGGCAGCTGTGTCCATGTGTCCCACGCCGTGGTCTGGTCGGACACCTCAGCCGGAGGAAGACCGACTGCGTTCGACGACCGAGCAATGAAAAGAAGTCTAGAAAACTCCTCGGAGGATCCGAGAAGATTTGCAAAAAAAAGAACAATTCAATCTTTGAATTCGAATATGTATTATCTGGCAGGGTCCAGGGTGTTTAAGGACCAACTGCAATGTGCACATTAGAACTTTACAAAACATCGTTCCTGCCTTGTCTCATTGTGACGCAAAAAAACAGAAAAGGGCTGATGAGGCTTAGAGCTGCTTGATTCATCTGATCTACATCTTGCAAGGCAAGCAGCTCGATGAATGTCCACCTTCATTGGCTCGGTGAGACCCTTTCGACGCTCTGGAGCTCTTGGGAGTGCCGCAGCCGTGGAGCCGCGGAGTTCCCCTCGACCATGGGCGAAGGAGCAGGAGGCGCCCTTGCCACAGCGACCCTTCGACATAAAACGGAAGCAAAGTTCGGTCTTCGTCCAGTTCGGCTGCTCGCGCAACTCCAAATCCTGGTATGTTCACAAGCCGGTAGGTCGCCGGGCGACGAAGAACGCATTTTCAAAGTTCGCCATGTTTGGTGATCTGGCGAGTTCGAGGTGGGAAGTTTAGGAAACAACTGAAGCCTTGTGGTGAAAGATGGAGAAAGAAATTCCTACTATGTGTGTGTGCAGAGTGTGCGGGGAATGCCAATTCTGAATACATCATATAGCCACTCAAATTGACTCAAACCATAAAATACCATGGACCATGGACGTAAGTTCCGGGGTGGGTCATGTGGCCGTCGGCAGTGTTGAAGAACCGCCTACAGGTCCTCAGCTCTGTTTAACCGAATACGTCATGCGCTCTCCACGCGGGCTGAGTCACTTCTTGGGCTGAGTCACATGTGTTGCTACCGACTCAGTCGACTCCGTTTGCATCCATCTTCATCCCCTAGAGCTCCCCTCTCTCTCAACTCAATCAGTCCGCCGTATACTAAGGGTCTCCGCCTAGGGGCTGAATGTGCGAAATTGCACCCAGTGCCCTTGCTGCATGTACCTACCTTCCAATGTCTGCAAACCTTGGTGCACTTCAATGCCGCTCGCAAATCAGATGCCGTCATCTTTCACCAGTGACAAGAGATGTGTCGAACGCGCAGGAAGCCGTGCGGAAAGCTTGAGCCACGAGCTGTGATGCGACGAGCGCCTCCCTGCCCAGACAGCCCAAAGAATGCAACATCATCCAGCGCCGAGCATGGAATGCCTGTGGTTCAAAACCATGGAGACCCCAGTTGACCACCGAAAATGAACAAAAGAGACTAACTACGACTGACATGGTCAATCCACACCTACAAGTCTTTTCATTCAACAAAGAAGTCATCACCGTCCACAATGTTTCTGACAAACCGCTCATCAGACAGTCTGTTTGCTCATCTTGAGCAAACCTTGGCATGCCGAGGTTTCCCCACGCTGAGTGGACCAAGGCTTATGCGATTGGCCGACCAACGCATCTCGAACATGGGTGAAAATGGCGGGGTCTCAACCCGAGATGAAGCAAATCTGGACCGATTGAAAGCGCTGAAGCTCATGCTGATGATCTCTGTGGACCACCTGAAAAACTGCCCGGCCCTCTGGCCAGGCCGGCCTCCCCTTAGAGGCCACAAATTCCTGCCAGGCTGTATAGATTACCTCAGCTTCAATCAGGACCAGGGCTGTACAGATTTCATATATGATAGAAAATTGTTTAAGCGCTATACACTGACTCTGAATTGATCGAAGGGAGTCCATGTTCCCTTCGCAAACTCTGCTGGCCTTTCTGGCCAGGTGTGCATGGCAATGAGTATTGACCAGGTGTGCATGGCAATGAGGACTGACCGGGTGTGCATGGCAACGATGACTGAGCAGGTGTGCACGGCAATGAAGTTGGAGCCAAGCTGAGCGAGTCCAAGTCATTCCTTGCTGACATGAGAGTCGAACGCTTTGGCAAAACTACCGCAGGCTTGCCCTGCACGAGCACGAAGGTGGGAAGAAACATTCCCGAAAAAGGTGACCTGCACATACCTGCACCAACCCCTGATGTTTAATTCACTTGAATTGAATCCAAATCATCTTCACCTCCTTACAACTGTGGCTGGGATCATTCCAGGATGTCCCTTCAAACACACTCCATTGACCTTCCAAGCTTCAGGCTAGGAGGCTTCCTGCTTGGCGGTGGAAGTACCTCCTCCAGTCCTGGTGGTGGTCGGAAGGGCACCATGGACATGCCAGGTGGCACCAGTGGCGCCGGATCCAACACACTCAACGCTCGCTCCTCAAGGGGTGCTTCCAATGCCTCAAAAGCACCGAGACGGACGGCTTCGTTCAGACCCGAGCTCCCAAACCCTGAAAACACTGAGCGCACGTAGACTTGCCAAGCACTGAGACTTGCCCAAAAATGGAGACTCTTGATGAATATTTCCCCCCATTTGGATGGCAAAACCTTGTTTCATATGAGACTCACAAATTATCCGGGCAAGAGACCCCAAACCGTGTGTGTGAGGTCTATAAGCAGAAAGTGTAGAGATCTAGACGCATTGGGGTCCAAAGAGGTGATGGTGGTGATGAAGGTGGGGATCGTGGTGACGGTGGCGGTGGTGGTGAGTGAGTGTGAGAATTAGAGTGAGAGTGAGAATGAGAGGGAGAGGGAGAGTGAGAGTGAGTGTGTGAGTGCGAGTGTGAGAGTGGAAGTGAGTATGAGAATGCGCTGAAATCTGCACTTCCAGGTTCACAAAGTACTGCGCCTGCCATGAAATCTCCACTTTGAGGTTCGCCAAGTGCTGTGCCTGCCACGAAATCCACATCGAGGTTCACCAAATGCTGTGCCTGCCACGAAATCTGCACGTCGAGGTTCACAAAGTGCTGCGCCTGCCACAAAATCTGCACATCGAGGTTCGCAAAGCGCTGTGCCTGTCACAAAATCTGTCGAGGTTCACAAAGCGCTGCACCTGCCACGAAATTTGCACATCGAGGGTCACAGACTGCCATGCCACGAAATCTGCAAACGAGCCACATGTCCAAAAGTCACGATTCACTGTACCTGTCACGAAATCTGAGCTCCTCGACTATCACCACCATGTCCAAAGTGCTGCACCTGCCACGAAACTGCATTTCGACTTAAAACAGCTCCGATCCCTTGCACCTGTCACGAAAAGTCGACTTTGAAGCACCACAGCACGAGGTTTCCCTGCGCCTGCCACGAAAAGTGACCACCATGTGCGAAAATGCGCACGGCGCCACAACGAGAGCGCAGTCGCTAGAAGCACCCGCCCGGGGCACCCAGACTTTGTGAGCCTGCGCAGTCGACATGCACATTCACAATGTTGAGAGGCATGAATTTGTTGCACCTGAGAAGCTGCAAAACGAAAGCCAGCGTTCTTACTTTCGAGTGTGCTTTCTCAGGCCACCCCCCCCGAATCCCCCTTCTACTCGGCTGGCGCAGGTATAGATACCCAGAATAACTACAACTCAGTTACCAGGTATAGTACTTCAAGTTCCCTTTCCGTCAACCGCTCGATAACCTTTACACATGCACAGCAAACCACAGCTTTGAAGTCTCATTCTTGCATTGAACTTATATAGGTGTGTAAGAGGTATAGCAACATAGCATTTATACGGACCCAGGGTAGCTACAATTCTGTTCCCAGGTATCCCACCCTGGGTCCGCGCGCGCCTTGCTGGCTCCCGGCTGCCAGTGATTTAGGTGCGCGCGCGGGCGCGGGGACCCAGGGCACCTACAAGGCGGTTGCCAGGTATACCCTGAGTTGCGCGGACCCAGGGTGGGGAAATTGAAGTGGGATACCTGGCAATAGAATTATAGCTACACTGGGTCCGTATAAATGCTATGTTGTACCTCTTACACACCTATATAAGTTCAATGCAAGAATGAGACATCAAAGCTGCGGATTGCTGTGCGTGTGTGAAGGTTATCGAGCGGTTGATGGAAAGGGAACTTGAAGTACTATACCTGGTAACTGCACTATAGCTACCCTGCGTATCTATACCTGGCAAGGTGCCAACTACACCTTACCATTCAGATGATGCAAATGATGCAAATTGCATTTCTTGCATCACCACCCCTCAAAAAACACTTCCAACACGACCTCAAAAAACCTTCCATCCGTCCACCCTCCTCCCCCAGCACCGAGCTACTCACTTCGTTCGCCAAGCACAACTCAGCTGGCGCCTTCTACGAAGGCTGGCTTTCGTAACCAGTGTTTGAAAGGTTCAAGTTTGTTTCAAGCAAATTGCAGTGATTTGGTGCATGTTGGCACCAAGTCACCCAGTGGATCCAATGATGCCGGCAACCGATGGTGGAACATAATTATTCTCCTAGGGCCTCTAGGTCCTTCCTTTTGGAAGGTCTTTTCAAGAATATGGGTCCAAGGTCCGAAAACCTGGTTTGTCATGAAAGGGACGTATTCTGACAATCGACCCGTATTTTGAAGTATCAGCTTTGGTCAGGAACAGCGATTTTGTCAACTCTGTCGAGTGGCGACTCCTGGCAGTAACACCCTGGGTCCGCGCGCTTGCGCGCGCGCCTTGTGGGCGCCACTCGACCGTAGACGCGCACGCGCGCGCGCGGACCCAGGCAGCGGAAAGGGTCCATGCAAATAGGAAAAGCATTGAAACTCCATCCAAACATCGACCTTGTTGTAGCGGAAATGGGTCTTTTTAGGAGGGGCCTCTTATCCATGTACAGTCATCATGATTCTTTCAGGGAGTCACAATCTCTTGCCCAGCAAAAGGATAGTTTACACAGGATAGTTTACACCGAAAGAAGGGATTGCGATCGAATATCCAATGATCCGGTGATGGTGCACTTCAAATTCCCTCTCCAGTCTCATACGTGCTTTGAACTTGTAGAGGTGTGTCGGAAGTATGGCACACTAGCATTTATACGGACCTAAGGTAACTCAGTTCAGTGGCATGGTCTAGCACTTCCAGTTCCCTTTCCGTCGACCGCTTGATAACCTTTACACATGCACAGCAAACCACAGCTTTGAAGTCTCATTCGTGCTTTGAACTTATAATGGGTGTGTAAGAGGTATGGCAACATAGCATTTATACGGACCCAGCGTAGCTACAGTTCTGTTCCCAGGTATCGCGCGCATGAGACTTCAAAGCTGCGGATTGCTGTGCGTGTGTAAAGGTTATCGAGCGGTTGATGGAAAGGGAACTTGAAGTACTATACCCAGGGTATCTAAACCTGGCAAGGTGCCAACTAGACCTTCCCATTCAGATGATGGAAAGGGAACTTGAAGTACTATACCTGGCAACTGAATTGTAGCTACCCTGGGTATCTATACCTGGCAAGGTGCCAACTATATACTTGGCAAGGTGCCAAGATGATGCAAATGATGCAAATGGCATTTCTTGCATCACCACCCGCTCCAAAATCACCTCCAAAACAACCTCTCCGTCCACCCTCCTCCCCCAGCATGTGCCGAGTTTACGTGTACCTTTTATGGGCCACCCCCCCCCAGACCCCTAAACTACTCACTTCGTTCGCCAAGCACAACTCAGCTGGAGCCTTCTACGAAGGCTGGCTTTCGTAAAATAGCAGCGAATTAGCCGCACACGCCCGCGCGGCACACCTATCTAAGCACACCAGCTTTTCCACTACCGTAAGAACCCCTAGTGTGTCCACACTGTTTGGGGAAGAAGACTTTGTGGACCACTGGAAGACCATTTCCACTGCCAAACCGATGTGCTCGGCGCCAAAACCTTCCCATGTCACGCTCCTCCCTCCCGCCCGGATCGGGCCAAGGAAGAGGGGAGGGGAAAGGAGAGCGACGCATGGGGCCTCCTTGCGGTGGTGGAATCAGCGATCTCGGGGCGCTGAAAACCAAAGTTAACTCGGAAAACAAACGCCGAAAGCACACGTTCCCTGGATTTCCGGTGACCGAACGCGCTCCAAAACGCGGCTCGGCTCGGAGCCTGCGTGGGACCGGAATCCGGGTGGGCACGGCAAGACATACGACCGAACATGTTGCCAACATCAAGTACTGATACATCTTCTGTTCTCTGTAAACACTGCTGATCGATCGTAAGACATCTGGAAGAAAACAATATATAGTTGATAGCT